GGGATTGTATTTACAAAGATAACTTGAAAGGTCACAAAATTTTATAGTATAAGTTTAGTATTCTTCACAGATTGCTTTGAAGAAATCTATGGCTTATACTATTATAAATAAGGTGTCCTCTATTGGTTCTGAAGTAAACTAAGTTTGGATAACTGTAAATATACTTTTAATAGGGAAGTTATAAAATCAAAGACATCAATTACAGATTTTTGTGATGCTGTAAAAATTGCTTCATAGTCAAATAAATGTTTCTGAACTAAAGAATATATGTAAGCCTCTGAATATTTTTCAGTTAGCAGTTAACCATTATGATCTCTTTGATTTAAGTAATTTGCAACAATCACATCCAACTTCTATATAATTTCATCGTTGTTATTCATTTAATTAATTATATATATACATTAATGAAGAGATAATAATCTCATAAAATAAAATTGAACCTAATACTTGATTGAATTTCAATCAGATATTTAATTTTGATTTAGTTATTCTCACATTTAAGAGGAAGTATAAAATATCAAAATGATATTAATATTTTTAAATTTTCTATGCTCAATAATTCTTTTGTTTCTCATCAATTTCAAAATTCACCTCCATAATATCCTTTACCAGTTGCTAACCCTGTTCAACCTATTTCTGCTAGATAAAAAATCCATGTCTCCAATTTACCATTGAATATCACAACTTAATAATTGCAATAAACCTTTTAAACTTATGGAAACATTATAGATATTAGAATCATCAGAAAAACACCTACAGGTATTGGAGTTAATTCACAAAAGGATTACCTTTACATATTTCATGTTATGCTTTTATTGCTTTTGCTGATAATGATTCAGCTGATAAGGCAATTTAAGATGGTCGAATAGGAGATTGGACTGTGAAACCTTAGATTGATAAATAAGCTATTCCTAAATGCAAATCTCGGTCTCGATCTAGATCTAGATCTTAAGAGAAAAATAAATAAGTATTAACAAATGGACCTATTACTCCATTGGAATAGTCTCCAAAAATATAAATTCAACTTTACGTTAGAGAATTGTTTGTTAGTGGAATATCCAAGAATTATGATGAATTGAAGATTCGCTAGGTAATAGAATGTGAAAATTATAGATTTTTTCATAATTTGGCTCTATAGAGAGGATTGATCTGTATCCTAATAAGCATAATATATTTAACAGTTATATAAAATTTTTTACTGTATAAACTTTTTTTATTTGAATTTAGATAGATTAAGCTATTTCTGCTTATTAAAAAATGGATAGTATTTAATAATAATTTTCTACTTAAATAAAAATTTATTTTTCTGACCCTATAAAAAGACACAATATTGTTGGAAATAAGTAAATTTTATTAGATTTTTTAGTTTATCAAATGAATAACATTCTAAACTATCATCAGTATTATTTATATTTTTTCCTCCTAATTTAAATAAAAAAGTTGATCATGCATTTTTGTTTGAAGTAATTTTTTAAATTATTAAATAAAAGATATGTTAGAATCAATAATGTCGACCTCTCTTATGGAATTATATTCAATAAGATCCAAATTATAAATCATATACTCTTCTACAATTTAGAGATACAAAACAAGCCATCTAGATAAGAAACTATCTCTAATAACATTTAGTAGATCTTCTTGGTGATTCAAAATGTGAAGTTGGAATAGTATCACTTCCAAAAATGCCCATGTAACCACCATAATAATTACAATAATATTAACCAATTCAAATGTTACCCTAATAACCATTACCAAATAATATGATGATGATGCCTCCAGTTACATAGCCCTTTTAACCTAGTTATTAACCACTCTTCATTCCATAATAAGTCATGTACTAATAGCCCTTATAACCATTCATAATTCATAAATAGGAACGAAGACCATAGCATTAATTTGTAGATCCTACATAATTTAATATGCCTTTATAAATGCAACCTTAAGAATAAGAATTGAAAATTAAATTAAATCCAAATGGTAATTAAGAAATTCTTGATGGATTTTTAAACTTTGATACTAATTAACAATTACAATAACAATAATAAAGATAGGATTGGGATACATTTTGGAGTGGATTTATGTTTAGAAGTAAGAGTCATAAGGTTGGAGTGGATGCCAAATGTTAAGAATCTGAAGTAATTTGGATTTCCTATTATATATTTAAGGCTCCTATTGTAATGGCCCCTCAAATCTAAGTGAATTATAAGGGAAACTTTACTGATGCCAAGAAATCAGCAAATGAGGCTTTCAAATTCATACTCTGTCCTTCTGATTATAATTAGGTATTGATTTTTAAACATAATAAATAATTAGAATAGTGCCTTTTAAGAATATATAGATTATTTTTCTGAGAAGAATAAGATTGGAGTTGCTTATATAGGAAATAGTATTTTATATTTACTTCCACCAAATGAAATTACAAATTCTATTTTACCAATTTAAGGATTAGAAATTCTTGCATTGTATATTGAAGATAAGAAAAAAATCATCAATTACAATTAAGATCATATATTATGACTTATTAATTTGTGAAGTTTTCATTATTAAAATATTACGTATTAATTTATCAAATGAAAAATCTTATGTTCAAATCGATTGCAAGGTTCTCATAAGTGAAAAATAGTTAATATTTTGTACAATTAGAAAATTAATATGGATGTCATAATTATCATCCATTACCTGTAGTAATTTCAAGAGGAAAAGGAATTTATGTTTGGGATCAAGAAGGAAAGAAATATATGGATTTTTTAGCAGCATATTCAGCAGTTAATCAAGGACATTGTCATGAGAAGATCTATTAAGAATTAGTTAAATAAGCTTCTTAATTAACTTTAACTTCTAGAGCGTAAGATTAAATATATATCATAATAGATTTTATAACAATAAATTAGGAGAAGCTGAGAAGTATATTACTTAATTATTTAAATATGATAAAGTGTTATTTATGAATTCAGGAGTTGAGGCAGGAGAATCAGCAATTAAATTTGCCAGAAGATGGGCATATAATGTAAAGAAAGTACCTGAAAATGAAGCAAGAGTTTTATTTGCAAATGGCAATTTTTGGGGTAGAACAATTGCAGCATGTGGAAGTAGTGATGATCCAGAAAGATATAATAAATTTGGGCCTTTTGGGGGATTAAACTTTGATCTTGTTGATTACAACAAGTAATCAAATTTGACTATATAGTGTTAATGCAATTGAGACTAAATTTAAAGCTAATCCAAATTATGCTGCCTTTTTCTTTGAAGCAATATAAGGTGAAAATGGAGTCATAATTCCTGATTAAAATTATTTGAAATAAGTAAGATCATTATGTGATAAATACAATGTTTTGATGATTGTAGATGAAATCTAAACAGGTTTAGGAAGAACAGGAAAAATGTTAGCAGTAGAACATGTATAAAATATTTTTAATATTTAATTAGGATAATGTCAGACCTGATATGGTATTATTGGGTAAAGCATTATCAGGAGGATTTTATCCTATTTCTGCAGTACTAGCTGATGATTAGATTATGTTGTAAATTAAACCAGGTGAACATGGATCCACATATGGTGGTAATCCTTTGGCAGCTAGTTTATGCATTAAAGCCTTAGAAGTTTTATAAGAAGAAAAAATGATTGAAAATGCTAATAGTTTAGGAAAAGTTATGGAAAAAAGATTAGTAGAATTAAAGAAATATAATAATGTAACTCAAATTAGAAGTAGAGGATTAATGGGAGCCATTTAATTCTAAGATGGAAAAGGAGATGTTGCATGGGAATTCTGTCTTAAATTAGCTAAAGAAGGTCTTCTTTGCAAACCTACACATAAAACAATAATGAGGTATATATATATATTATATATAAACTTATAGATTAACTCCACCTTTGATAATTAATGAAGCAGAACTTAATTCAGCTTTTGATAAAATAGAGTATGTATTGAAATAATTATGAAGAATTGAGTATAAATTAAAAAATTTATCTTATTAAAGAATATGTTTAGTAAGGAGAAATGTTTCAAGTTTAAATAAGAGTCGATATTTTTAAATATATTATTAATAATTAATTTTTTATGTAATAAGAAGAGAAGGGAAGATTTGAGATTAAGAAATGGTATCCTGTTGCATTTTGGTGTATATAAATAGTATGATATTAGCTTGGAGTTTGAAGGTTGAACATTGTGCTATTTGTAAAAATCATATTATGGAGAAATGTATTGAATGTGAAGGAAAAGATTAAAAAGAAATTTGTATTACTTAATAAGGAAAATGTGGACATGCCTATCATGAACATTGCATAAGATAATGGCTTAAAACAAAAAATACATGTCCTTTAGATAATAAATAATGGGAAGAGGAAAAAAAAGGAATTTGAGTAAACTTGAAATATAAAATGATTCATTTTAGATATGTTGACTTCAATTTTGGTAAAAAGAAAGAATCATTATTTAATACTTTTCGAAGTGGTGTCTTTTTATTTATTTATTGTTGTTATACTTTTTGTTGATTATTTTCTTTTATTTATAATTCTAATGAAGACCTTTTGTTTTATTTTTATATCTTTTCTTTATTTTCGAGAATAATTTAACTAAAATTTACCCAACCAGATTTTAAATCAAATTTTGATTGATGCATTAATTCCATTTATCTTTGAGTATGCCGAATTTATTTCATATATTCTTCAATTAATTATTATAGTGAATTTTCTTTTTATGATAATTGTGAAAACTATTATTAATCATTATCTTAGTCTATTGAAGATTTTTGTTTGGCTTTATGATTTGGAATTATTCTTATATTTTTTCTATGTTTATTAATACTCTTTGGTTATGGAGAAATAAAATCATGTTGGATTGGAGATTAAGGGTCCCAATTTCTTTAACTTGTTGTTTCTTCATCTCTTGCTAATTGAAGTAAGGAATAAACAGCTTTCTATTCTAATTTATTCATTTTTGAGACTTATTTTATAAAATAAAATATATCATTATATAGACAATGTTTATTATTTCACATATTCAGGATTTCTTTTTAGAATACTATTATTCAAGTTGAAATAGTTTTTCATTCTAATATAATTTATAAAAGTATACTAAAACTTAAATATATTTTTCTTAATCTTAGAGTATTCTACCACTTTATTCTTCTGCCTCTAATCGCTTTTTTTATTCATTTTACAATTTCTCTAATAATTCATCACTTGAAATCTTTTTTATTTAATTTGGTCTTGGTGATATTATTTTAGTTTGCGATAAATTAATGACATTTTTATTTAACTTAATCATTGTTTTAGTTTCTTATAATAATTCATATTGCCATTTTTTAAGAACCTTTAAATTAATATCAACTAAATGAAAACTTGATATTAATTCACCCATATTCATTAGTTTTTATTTAATTTATCGTATTTATTAGACATCTGAAGTATTAATTTAATTATCTTCAATTACTGCATCATTCTCGTTTTCTAAATATTATAACTTATCTGGTTCAGATATTTATTTTTCTATTGGACTACTACTCTTACTTATTGATCTTTATGAATTATTTAAGTTAATTGTCATTTTTGGTGAAATAACTCTAAATGAACAATCTCCTTTAGGTGATTTATTTGATTTTGAGCCTAATGGAGGTTTAGGAGAATTGCCACCAATTTATGATCCAACTTAAATTTATTAAGAAGGAATAAACTGTTAAACATTCTATAAATTAAGTTGTACAGTATTTTGTTTTTAAATTTTCGACATAAATATTAGCTATTGATATTAATGTTTCAAATATTAAATTAAATTGAGGAATAATATTATCATTATACACATATTTTGTTATATTCATTATTGCCAAGAATTCTTTTCTAATAATTTCTATTCTAATTATTTGATTTTCTAGATCTTAATAATATATAAGTAATATATACATATGATTTTATTTCAGATTCTTAACTTTATATTATTTTACTTGTCTACTCTTCTACCATAAGACGATTTCTTCTTTCTTCTGCTAATAATTTTTCAATATTAAAATCAGATGTATTATTATTATACATTTATGATGATGAACTATCACTTTTTATTAATTATGGATATTCAATTTCTGATTTCTTTTTTTATTAATTTATTTCTATTATTTTTTCACAATTAGATGTCAATACTTTTTACCATTAAGATAAAATCTATTGAGATAATTAATTAAACTTTATTCCATTAATTTATTGACTAACAAATTTCAGATTATTAAAAATTCTATTCATTTCTTAATCATTTCCTTATTTAAATTAAGAACTCATATTATCAAAATCTGCACTTTTATTTTAGCATAAAAGATTTGATATTTTTGATTAATACGATTCCTTATTTATTAAATTAGATTTCTTTTTTTATTTTTAAGGTTAACTACATAGATGATATTTTGTTGTTATTGGAATTGATGTATTTTGATTATTAGGTGTTACAGCTCTTTATGTTGCTAATTCAAAATGGGTTTAAGAATTCTTCTGTTTTTGACTTATACTATTTTTTTCTCTGTTTTTTACAGAAAGTATTGATGCAAATAGAGAATTCTAACTAGAGAATAATCCAATTGGAAGTGAATGACGAATTAATTAAATGGGTTTACCATATCTTTCTGAACTTTTTGGAGTGTTATGATTTTTCATTTATTTTTATTAAGTTGAAAATAATAAATCACACAAAGTTAACCTATCTTTATTATTATTATTATTTTAATTATTCAGAACATTATCAATTAAGATGTTAAGAAATTAAGAAGTAGATATATATAAGGTATGATTTATTATTATATTTAAATCAAGATATTCATTATAATCAATCCCATTTTAATAAATTTGAATGATCTTCTATTTTTTAATTATTTATTTATAATATACATTGTTAGGATAATTGATTTATTCATTCAATTATAATGTTATTTATTTTGATATATATTAAATATTTTTATTGATTGATTTTATTAAATCTTTAATATGATGAATCTACTAAATGAATAATAATATATATTTTGATTCCATTTGATTTTTTTATTAGTTATATAGCAATTGTGTTTCCTATTGCTCATAAGTAATTAGTAAAAATTTATTCGTTAAATATAATAATCACTCATCAAAGTTTTCATTAGTACTTATTAATTTCAACAACCTCCCATTTTGAACATGGATAGATGTGTTTGATTTTTTCATATCTGAATTTTTCAATAATCTTACATGTTGTTGAATTTTCAACTTCTATTTCATATTCAATACCTTTAGCTTAAACCTACACATATCAAATAAATGATATTTTGATTACCTTTCTCTATTCAAATGATAAAATTGGTTATCCAGATCGATTCTTAACTTTATAAGCAATTATATCATGAAAACTTATTTTGTGAGGCAAAATCATTGCATTGGCTACAAAAAGTAAATCATCAGGGCTAAACTCAGTCAACTAAACTTATAAATTGTTTAAATATTACAAATCCAAAATCTCTTATAATCTCTCTTCTTGCCAATTCTAAAAATTCTTTAATTGTTGTTTTCTTTTTTATTCTTAAAGTTCGTGTACAAGTTTATGCATCCCAATATTAAAATTTAATATCTATAAGTTAATCCTTTTGTAATTCCATATTTTTCTAATATTCTTCTAATACCTAATAAGATTTAATATATATACCAATAAATATTCTAGTAAGTTCTTCAATCTTTTTTTCTCGATTCATGTCTGGAAGATACAATGTATCTACACTACTATCTTTTCCATAATTTTTCTTTTCAGTCAATTCTTATTATTCTGAATCAAAACTTAATAGTATAGTTTTCAATTTATATTCTTATTTTCTCTTTAATTTTTACTCCATCTTCTTTTTCTCTTCTTCTTCTTATTTAATTTTAAGATCTTAAACATAAATTCTGTCAATATTTTCTCTTTTTCTTTTGAATTCTTCCCTTGTTACTAATCCAATAGTTTTTGACTTAAACTCTTCTTCTAGAATGTCTTAATTAGATTAACCAAAACGTTCCTAATCAAATATATAATAATGCTAATACTTTTATATTAGTTGTGGCTTTTCTAAGAGAAAGCATAGCTTCCTCTTTTTTTAACTTCTCCAATTCATTGATATCAAGATCCTTATACATTTAAGATTTTTATGTGGTGAAATAATTATAAAATTTAATAACAACAAATTACTCCTTATTAATTTGTTTCAAAATTATATATACTAAAGAATAGCAGTCAACTCAAACAAATCGAAAGGTTTTGTAATGAAATAATCTATTCCAGAGTTAAAACAATTTAACTTCAAATCCATATCACTATAACTAGCCATGGCTATGATAAATCCTTTGTCTACTTGAAATGATTTAAATAGTTATTTTATTTCTCTAATCAATTCCACAGCTGATTGCTATATATATGTTCAATACATACTGGTAAGGAGGCATCAATAAAATACAATAAATAAGAGCCATTTTTACATCTACAAGGATTAAGAGACTTATTTTTAATCAACTACAGAGTTTACTACTGTGTAAAAGCCTTATCTGATTTAACTTCATATTTATTAAGTAGAATCTACAGAACTGAAACATTCAAATAATCATTATCTGCAATTATTACTTTTGAACAACATTAATTTGTTAATTTGAACTTTATTACAGAATGTAGAAATTTTGGACTTAATTCTGGAGGATCTATATTTGGATTAGTACTTTCTCCAAAATCTAAAGCACTAGTCATAGGTTTGGAAGACTCATTAACTGCTGAATCACTTTTTATTACTTTAGATGGATTGTTAGTGTTCAGACTTTTAGGAAATAGGGAATCCTATACTTTATAAGTACCACCTGAATTGCTTTAAGCTTATGAACCTAAGGGTTTTATTTAAGGAGATTCCTATTTTATTTTGGATATTTATGAGAAATGAGCACTTTATAAATCAAATGGGACATCTGGTTTAAGTGAGTATTATTTTGATATTTAAGTAAATGACATATATTTCGATTCTTCATTTTTATAATGAGAACTATCTTATGCTTAAGCTAATAACATAGAAAGTGATGTTTCAAATGCACGTTTAGGTTTGATTTATTAAGCATGATAACCATGTTTACTATTTATTGGAAGTGATTCAATAGTAAATGTAAAAGTACCTTAAAATTGATTATCAAAACTTAATTCTAAAGGTTTACGAAGAGAACCAGAAAGTAAATAGGCTAGAATTGCTGATACTTGCAATTCCAATAAATTACTCATGTCAAAATCTTTACAATTAGTTTTCATTAATTATGCAGTGTTTCTTAAAACAGTTTGATATTAAGACTTTTAGTTTTCTTCTTTAAAGGGAATATCTTTAATTTAAAATTGATAATTATTTGGTGATACTTAATGAATATCTATTCTAATTTTAGAAGTGACAGTATATTTAATAGCTATTTCGAAAAGACATTTCAGAATTTGTTTTGTCTAAATATAATATATAGTTATACACGATCTGAATCATTAAAAACTATCATATCACTATCTAGAATTGGAATGATTGAAATTTCCTTAATTTTTAAACAATCTTCATAAATTAATTAAAGTTCATCTAATATATCACCTAATTTAAAAGTTGAATTTCTAAAAATCAATTGATTTGTAAGTTAAAGAGTTAGATCTTTCATGGTTCCTAAAAAAATCATAAATTTTTATGTGCTCATTCTCATTTATTTTAAATATTCTTTTGATATTTTACCTGTATTCTTTTCATGTTCATGAGAGCATAAAAGAAGTAATAGATGAATAACATTAATGTAATTGTTGGATTCAGAAAGAAAGGTTTAAAAAACATTTTAAAATTGAAGTGGTTCATCTAATACTCTTTTTGAAGACACTTTTTGCATAGCCTCAAACATAAAGAGTGTATAAAGCTTTGATTTCACTTCTGTAACTAAAACTTTAATATGAATATTTCTAAAATCAAGTTCATTGCTTTTTATTTTGTACAAAGTAAAAGTAAAGAATTTCCATCTAAAATTAATTATTAAATAATACTTTTAATAATTATTAAATAAAGCTGCTATCATCTATCTTATTTTATGTAATCCACCTTTAATCTTATATCTACTATGTACAGTACTATCTAAAATTAAAGAACTAATATATTTATATAAATGATATACTCTTCTTAATCTAAGTCTAATTCTGAATTTCCAAATAAATCATTTACTTCTCTACTACCAATTTCTATTACAGATTCTAGAAAGATTTACTCATAATCATGGTTTACTCCTTTATTTTATAGATTATTTAGTTTTCCTAAATAAAAATTTTAATAGGTAATCTCAAAATTTTAATTATAGACTAAAATAGATTAATTGTGAATCCAAGCCCTAATGATTAATATTAAAATTTAATACATATGAGCTAAGATGTCTTCCTCTTCATTGCATTACATATCTAAAACCATTGGACTATTTTATTAATCTTGACATTCTAAATCAGGAGACTTTAGTGCATTTTCGTTTATTTATAATTATGAAGATTATCTATCAAATTAATTAGACTATTATTTAAGATTGATAAACTTAGTTTATTAAAGTTGAATACTAGTATTTTATTTTTCTTAAATGTTATTCCAATAATCATATAAAACTACACCAAAAATCAATATCATGTAGGGTATTGTTAAGTAAAATTCAAAAATATTTGGTTATAAGATTGAATTAATTGAAGATCCAATCCCAATTATTGCTTTAATAAATAGGTCAAATTCAGTTAACAATATAAGTTAAGCACATATCTACTATTATGAACAACTTTAAGATAGTTAAGTATATATTGTTATCCATTTTAAGTAAATCATCACATGACCTAATTTTTGAATATTAAAATATTGATGATAAATTAAGTATTGATTTACCAACATTATGAATATATTAATGGAAAGTAATAAAGTCTAATAGATGGAGAAGGATGGATTGATTAGAGCAATGATTATTAAGAAATATATTCTAAATTATTTCATTTATAAAATGATTACTAATTTAGTTCGTAATATAGTACAGTTTGGAGGTACATCAACATTTGAAAAAGCTAGATTGTCAGCTACCTATAAAGGTGACTATTATTATCCAAATGAAAGTGATATTGAAGGTATTCTTGAAAAATGACTAGCAATTATGCTTACACTCTCCGGTAAGGATCCTGAAACACGTCCTTAAGTTGGATTTACGACAATATTAGCCAAATTAGAATAATCACAATCTAAAATCTATTGGAATTATATAATTAAAAACCTAATAATCTTAGACAGATGTATTGAGTATAGGTTTTTTGTGTCAGATATAGCAGATATGAATGTAAATTATGTAGAGAATTATGTTGAAAGAGATTAAAAATATAGTATATGCATTTATCAATTTATTAGAAAGTTTATCAATGGATTCATTTATTAGAAAGTATTATCTCTATTTGAAGAAGAAAGCTGCACTTTATTCAATAAAAAAATCAAGTTTTAATACACCAAAAGAAGAGAAAAAGAATTATTTTAAGTAATAATCAGCTGAAAATATATTTGAAGAATTTAATAAAGGATAACAATTATTTGATTAGATACTTGATGTAAGAATCATATCTGCATTATTAGATATCTATTCATGATAAGAATGGATTATTAAAATACAGATTGAATTAGTATGTCTATTAATTGTTATTGTTTACAATGCTAAATTTGTATTATAATTCATACATATTGATTGTCATACTAATAGAGAGATTACTTAAAATGCCAATTAATGAAGTCAAATAATTCAAAGATATTTATAATCATTTTCTAAAAAATAATGAAGTCCTTGTAAACTTCATTAATACAAGACTATATATTAAAGGATTTTCTGATATAAATACAAGTGAGATAGCTAGAATTGATACAAGAATAATAGGAGCTATAGAGGAATATGTAAGAATAGCTGAGAAATCATAAAATTCAATTGGATTATCATAAGACATCTAAATATCAGCTGATCTTATTGATGAAGAATTGATTTTTGATTAAGTTGAAATTATCAGAGATAGCATATATTAAAGAGATGGTTAAGCTGAACCAAATAGAGGTATAACCCTATTTAATATTTACAGCTGTTGGTCATAAATTGAGTAATATTCAATATACTGTTTAGAAACTCACCAGTTTCGAATCGAAATTAAAAGATTATTAACATAAATACATAAAGAAATATCCATAAAGTTCATTCAATACTGATGGATTTAAAGAAGATCTATTTAAGAGTTTAGCAAATAATTATTCTACTGAGTATATTGTAATAGATCCAAAATTATTTAAAACTTTGTCTTATCAAAATGAAAGAGAATCAAGTCAACCTCATTCTAGTATAGAATCTGAATATCATGATGATGGAATTAAAATAGAATTTATTTAACCAATTAATGATTTTGATGAAAATGTATTTTTTTCAATTAAAGATATCTTTTGTTTTGAAGTACCTAAAATTATTGACAATATTGAATAATTTCCTAATGCAGATGAGGAAGACTTTCCTGATTATAAAGATGAGGAAGATAATTATTGATTAAGTTATATATATATATTTTATTATCTATTAAAAATATGTATTATTATTATAAATATATCTTATATAAAATATGGATTATGAAAATTAACTTATTTAAATGATTAATAATTTTTTATAAAATAAAATACTTTATTGACTTAATATTTGATATAGATATAATATATAATCACATACATTTATTAATTTTGATACCCTGTAATAAAGGTTTTTGTTCCTGCTTAACCTTCTTTTGTATGGGGGGATCTTTGGGTGGCTATCCATCCTATTCTATTCTGGGCATCCTGCCTTATGGATATAATAAATCACATGACAAAGATCCTGGTTTGGAAGTATTAGTGTTTTAATGCTTCTTTGGCTGTAATCCTCTTTGCAGGATTAAGTGTCAGCATTCTATCAATTAAATCTATTAGTTAAGGCATGGCATTTGAATTAGCGTGCAAATACTTTCGCAATGTTCTTTCCTTTGGTCCATTTATATAGTCATGGTAATGTGGAAGTGAATTCACATCTGACCAATCATCATAAAAGAAAAAATAAAATTCAAACCTTCCATAGGAGTTCCACAAAGATCTATTATTTTTGAAAAACATTGAGATTCCGATTTTGCCAACATAAAGGGACTTTGTTTTACAATCAGCTCAAGAAAGAGGATGCCAGCTGACCACATATCAACAGAACAATCGTACTGCTATTCTTGTTAAATACGAAGCAAAATACACCGCCCAAGTAGATTTCAGGAGCTCTATATTGGGGAACCAATATACGCTTTGTTTATGGTCTCTTTTTTGAATATTCATTGGCCATTCCAAAATCGCAAATCTTTACTTATCCCTTATCGTTATATAGTATGTTATTAGCTTTAAAATATAGTTGTGGATACGCTTCAAATCCCTATGGTATACATTCCTAGAATGTAGATAAGAAAGAGCATCAAGTATTTAATACATCAAACATCGAACTTAATCTAAATTAAATACTATTCGCCTCTACAAAAGATTATGCAAGTCTGTGTCCATGTATTCCAAGACCAAATAAGTGTTCTCTATACATAATTACTGCTTTTTCCTTACTAGATTAAACAACAACTTCTTGAAAACTCACTATATTTTCATGCTTTATTGATGAAAGCAAATGAATTTCTCTCATTGCCGTTCGTGGAAACTAATTACTTTAACACATTTTACTCCATTGGCCTCTTTCTCTTGCTTTATTTTTTTTAAGGCAACAATCTACTTATTCAATTTGTTTTAAGCCTTAAAGACCTATCTACTTAATAGAGTATTAAATCACCCGTATTTTCCTTATCCTACATGCTTTTAAATGATGTAGGTCTAATTGAGATCTTATGCAGGCAACTGGCTAGTAGTTGTTCTGCATATTTATACACCCAAATTTCCCAACATAATATTTTGGGAATTTATTAATATATAATAAAGTTCATATATTCAATAAAGAAAATTTAGTTGATTTCTTCCTTTAAACTTTATGTCTATCCATCAATATATCTATTAAATATATTAACCATTTAAAGATTTTACCTTATACATGTAAATATAAATTTACATATTATTAATTTAAATTTTAAAGACATATCAGAATTTAATAGAAATAGATATAATTATCCTTAAAAGAATTTCCTTAAATATGCATTTAAATATTCTCTGAAAATATGAATCAACATGACCTCATTATTATAATTTTTATTGTTATTCTTTTTACTAATGAATATTATTATTTATAATATATATCCATAAAAGTAACTTTCACACTATGTATTAAATTGCAATTTTAATTCATTTTTATGATTAGGTTATAGAAAAGAATGTTGATATACTATGAATTAATTTATCTTATAATAAAATATTGAATCAAAACAATTATTTATAATTATCATTTTTCAATTTATCAAAAAGATATAAGGTTTAAAGGAATTATTTTTTACACTTTGAAAATTAATCTACAATTCCAACTGTGATGATATTTTAAGAATTAATTATAATGATTGCATTATCGTCACCATCTTTCAAAATAGATTTCTTTTCATCATGTATTGTAACATAAACTGAATTAAAATAAAACAAGTACAAGTTTTCTCATCAAAATCAATATGACTTTATCTAAATTCACGAGTATTATAATTTTGATAATTTTGTAGTAAATTCATAACATCTGAGAAATCTATTTTTTATTATTGTTTATGAAGAATTGCTATAGGTGGTACATAGGTACATTATAGATTAAGGCTATCCTTTTAGATAAATTTATTCAGATTTGTATTTGAATTTGGAAATTGCGCTAAGTATTTTTCTAAGTCCATTTTTGTTAAACAAATATTAAATTTATATAAAATTCAAGAAATAATACAACATTTTTATGAATTTTTGAAATCCTTCAATTCAGCTAAATCTATTGGCTTGTCTTAAGTACTTTCTTCTAATTCACAAAAATATAATGAAAATGAATCAATAAGAATAACATTAAATTGTAGATACTATTGATATGGCATATATATATACCTCTTATTCTTAAGTATCATCAATAGGAGGACATGCAATACCTATTACATAATGAGGGATCTATTAATGTTTCAAAATTCGAATGGAATTTTTTAACAATTAGAATTATTGATAATTTTGAAAAATACATAAAGTAAGTTGATTTTGTAAATGGAGTGGATTTTCTGATGGTCTCTAATTGTATAATTAAGATTACACAAACAATAATTTTTGATAATGCTATTGAAATTGATCTTATATGAATTAGGGATATCCTTAAACCCCCAATATTTACACAATTCTTCTTTTCATAAATATTAATTTAAATTGAATGAGTAATAGTTTGTATCATTTATTTCTGCTGAGTTTCTTGATATCAGTTCATTGTAAAATAAAAGTATCAGAGGTATGTACATGTATGGATTTGAAATCAGAGAATGATTGTTAATAAAATGAGAAATGTATATGGAAGAACAAAACTTGTGAATAGAAGATAGAAGAGTAAGTAAAAGAGACTGAACCAGAGAGTATATATTGTAAAGATTTAACATAAGAGGTTTGTATAAATAAAATAGGTTGTGCATACTACAATAAAAAATGCATTTAATTTAGTGGATGCACTAGCTATGTTTATACAAGTCATATTGAATGTTAATAAGTAAGTATGTAATGTACAAGTAATGGGATATAGTGTATAATACCAAGAGAATGTAATTTAAATGAAAATGAAACATTATGTACTACAGTGATAAGTTCATCAGGATCAAAGAAATGCGTTTGGGAAAAAACAGTATGCAGAGATTAAATATGTAATGAAGCACCAGAGTTTTTTAGTACTGATGAAGCATGCAATAATTTTATCAAAGGATGTGTTACAAATGGAAGAGGATGTGTAACAAAAAGAGTGAATTGTTATTATTATGATAAAGATTGTAATGGTATGATTGGAAGTGATGGATTATGTGAATCAAAAGATAATAAATGTTAATCTAAGGATTGTGCTAATGCTCCATTGACATATTATACAGATTAATAATGTCAATCTTTTAGAAAAGGATGTAGAACAACAGGTGTTGGATGTACAGATTAGGCATTACATTCTTGTACAACATATACTGGAGATAGTGATATGTGTTTAAAATACATAGGAAGTAGTGGTAAATGTGAAGAAGGATAGAAGGGTAAATGTTAAGCAAGGACTTGTGAAAATGCACCAAAGTCATATAAAACAGATGAAGAATGTAAATCATATTCACCTAAATGTAAAACAACAGGAATAGGTTGTGTTACAGTTCTATTGAATTGTAGTTCATATAAAGGTATATAAATGGAATGTGAAAGAAGAATAGGGGCAGATGGAAAATGTACAGGTTTAAGTTCTGAAGAATCTTAATAATGTAGAGTTAAGATTTGTTCTGATGCTAAATTTTCAACTGATAGTGAATGTGGATAATATTAATATAATTGTATTTCTAATGGTGTTGAATGTACTACATTTTTGATGAATTGTAATAAATATCAAGGAGATGCTGAAAAATGCAATAGATATGTAGGATTAGATGGTAAATGTGCAGAAGGATAGAATGGATATTGTACAGTAAATGCTTGTGAGAATGGTAAATTTAAAACTAATGAGGAATGCAAAAATTTTTAATCATATTGTTTAAGTAATGGAACTAAATGTGTATAGAATGACACTTGTCCAAATACATTATAAAAGATAACTTGTTTAGCAAATGATAAATGTTAATGGACTGAATAATGTGTAACTAATTAATGTAAGTATTTTCCAACAAAAGGAATGTGTTTAAGACATTCATCAACAGTTGAATGTTTTTGGGATGGTTAAAGTTGTGTTGATAAATAATGTAAACATGCTGGTTAAGAATATAGAACAAATACAGATTGTTAATATTTTTTACCTTAATGTGTTACAAATGGTTAAGGTTGTGTGGATATATCAGATCCTTGTGAAGAATATTTAGGAGATGAAGATACATGTACATATTATAAGGGTAATAATGGTAAAATACCATGTGTTTATAATTCTGCTACTAAGAAATGTCGTTCAACAGTATGTTAAGATAATTTATATGCTCAATCACAAAAAGATTGTGATAAAACTTTAGAAGGATGTAAATTTACAGGAAAATATGGATGTGTTAATGAAAATGCAGAATGTAAAGAATTTTTTGGAGATTCTAAATAATGTAATACTTTGAATAGTAAATGTTCCTAAAATTTAGGAGAAATTGGAAATTGTCGTCCTTTAGAATGTTATGATAATTAGACAGCATTAGAAGATTATGAATGTAATTTATTTAAATCTGGATGTGTTACTAAAGGTGTTGGATGTATATCATCAACTGCTCCATGTACATAATATGTAGGTAATTCAATAATGGATTGTTCTAAATTTATTGGAAATGGAAAGTAATGTTGGTATGAATAAGGATTGCCAAGTTAATGTGCAGATAAATAATGTAGTCATAATGTTGATGCATAAGATGATTAGGAATGTAATAGATTCTTATAAGGTTGTGTATTTAATAAGAAGGGATGTTAAGATCCACAATTAACTTGTGATACTTATATGGGAGATGAAGATACATGTTCAAAATATAGAGGAAATGGATTATAATGTGTAAGAATAGATTATTGTGAAGATCGTAAATGTTCAGATGTATAGAATCCTTTATCTTTAAAAGAATGTGAAGATTATTTATCTCATTGTGCTTTTGATGGTGGAAATTGTATTGAAAAAAATTATTGTGATTCTTATTATGGATATTCATAAGAATAATGTTAAATTTTAGTAAATTTAGATGGTGATTTTTGTACTTATAATGAGACAAATTTATATTGTACTAATCGTAAATGTAATGATGCAAAAAATGTTAATTCATAATAAGATTGTACATCTTATAGAAAGAATTGTATTTTCAATGGAATTAATATGTGTGAGGAGTTATAAAATAGTTGTACTTAATATAGTGGATTTTCTGAATAGGGATGTAAAGATGCAAGAAATAAGGAAGGAAAAGGATGTTGGTATGATAAAGATGGAAAATGTAAAGAAAGAACATGTTCAGAAGAATTATTAACATATTCAAATGAAATTTGTTAAAAACATGATTCTAGTTGTATTTATACTGGAATAAGATGTACTAAGAAATAGAATAATTGTATTGATTATAAAACATTGAGTTTAAGTGAATGTAGATTTTTATCTGATTGTTGGAAATTAGAAGATGATAATAGTCCATGTTAAAATAGATCATGTAGTGATAGTGTAGAATCTCCATCAGATTAAAATTGTAGAAATCATTTAAATTCATGTAGATTTAATGGTGATAATTCATGTGTTGATGAATAAGATGATTGTAGTGGTTATATTAATTTTACAATGATTGCTTGTTAAGTAGTTACAAATAAAAAAGGAGAGAAATGTTGGTTCAAAAATCTAAGTACAACTTGTGTAAATAGAACTTGTTAAGATAATTTACCATTTTATTCTGCTGAAGAATGTGTTAATCATTTGAGTACTTGTAGATATTATGGAATTAAATGTTTAGATGCAAAAGATACATGTTCTTAATATATTGGATTTTCAAAAGAAGCATGTACATAAGTTACTACAAAAACTAATTAATCTTGTTGGTATTAAGGTTAGAGTACAATTTGTATTGATGCAACATGTGATAATTATATTAAAGATGCTTCAATAGAAAATTGTTATAAACATTCATCTTCATGTAGATATAATGGTACTAGATGTATATAAGCAATGATGAATTGTTCTTAATATATAGGTTCTAATTAATTATGTACTTAATTAACTGATGCTAATAATAATTAATGTTGGTATGATATTAGAAATAATTAAGGAATGGATAATAATTGTATTTAAAAAGAATGTTCTAATAGATAAAATATTTATAATTTAGATATATGTTAAAAATATTTTGGTAAAACTATTGATGATAAATATATTCCAAATTGTACATATGATGGAATCAAATGCATTAATATTTAAAATTATTGTTCATAATATATTGGATATAATAGTTAATAATGTCTTTATGTGACTACTTTAAGTGGTGAAAGTTGTTTCTAAGATCAAAATAATAGTAATATGACATGTAGAGCTAGAAGATGTTCAGATAATTAAACAGCTATTAATGATCTTTAATGTGATTAATTTTTATAAGGATGCAAAACTACTGGTAGAGGATGTACAGAATCAACAAAATAATGTAATAATTATAGAGGCACTTAATCTAGTTGTTTGAAATTTGTAGGTAATGGAAAGAAATGTAGAGGATAAGATATAATTACAAAATGTTCAGTTAGAGAATGTTTTCATGATTAATAATCTACTACAGATATTGAATGTAATTCATTTATGGAAGGTTGTGTAACAAATGGTTAAGGTTGTATATCTTCTTTAGAACCATGCAGTAGTTATATTGGAAATCTTGAAAAATGTTCTAAATTTAAAGGAAATGGAAAATTATGTTATTCAGATAGTCTTGTAGAAATTAAAACATGTAGAGATAGATAATGTTCTGATAATTCAAAAGCTATTACTGATTTTGATTGTAATAAATTTATGCCAGGTTGTATTAGTAAAGGAATTGGATGTATTGAAGATACATAACCATGTTCTAGTTATTATGGAACATAAGCTTAATGTAGTAGATTTAAAGGAGAAAAAGGTACAAAACCTTGTTGGAATAATGGTGATGCTACTGTTAAGACTAGATGTATAAATAGAGAATGTAATCATTTATCAAGAGGTACTAATGATATAGAATGTAAT